GCGGGGGCCCCCGCGCCCAGGACATTCGGGCAGCTGCCGAGCTGCTTGGCGCTCCTCTCGCTTGCGGCAGGCATTGGGCTGCCCAACCCAAGCGGGGCGACTCTGCACAGCATAAAAATGCAAACAGTAAACCAACCCCCCCCGCCCAGCCATACAACATTAAACATATACAGAATATGAATATAAAATGAGTTAAGGGCTGGCGTTTGCTGAACAGATGCGGTTGGCTTCCTGCTGGTATCCAAACTTGCAGGAAAGTTCCCAGAGATTCTGGCCAGTCAGGTTATTAAGGAAAAAAAAGACACGTGCAATTAAGGAAATCCCCGATAGATCTCTGAATCGATGGCCGCCTCGTGCCAGAAGCCCCTTTTGCACCCGTGAGTCCGTCTTTTGCCCGCGAAGGGGCTCCGGGGGAGTGAACGGCTGGCCTTCAGATTCCACGGGGTTCTTGGGCTGGACGCTGAATGTGCTGTGTTGTTCTGAAGCTTGCAGGTTCTTGCTGTAATTTTATGGCATTTCGCTGGGGCGCCTTTGGGCCTTCCAGCTTCTATCCCTAGGATGCCGGATGGGATAAAAATACAGCACGTGGTTTCGGTGTTATGTCTGATTCCAGCTCTTTGTGGGGGGGGAGACCCCGTATTGATGATGTGCGTCAGAGGGGTGCGCCCCGAGATTCATAACTTTTCCTTGGCCTCCGCAGGAGAGTGAAGATGCGGTCAAGGCCCTCGCGAAAGAAAAGGACCTGCTGGAACGAGAGAAATGGGAGCTGCGGCGGCAGGCCAAGGAGGCCACTGACCACGCCAGCGCCCTTCGCTCGCAGCTGGACCTCAAAGACAACCGAATGAAGGAACTGGAAGCCGAGCTAGCTATGGTGAGGCCTGGGGGCTCTCGGGGTCCCCCGGCCCTTCTTCCTCCAGAATTTCTGTGGAAATGACCCGAGTGGCCATCTGGTCCAGACCCCCTTCCTAACAGCAGGAAGCCCCCTTTTTTCCCGCAGGGATTCTTTGGAAGGGCTCTGTGGGGTCATTTAGTTCGGCCCCCTTAGAAGCAGGAAATCCTACCGGGCATCAAAGACTCCGATTCCGCTTCGTTTCGATGAGTCTGGGGGAGTCTGGGGGCATGGGGGCTGACCAGTTCAGGAGAAAGAAGGCGTTGTGTTTGCGTTCAGCGCCAAACAGATGAAAACGATTGGGAAAGAGGAGAATATTTTAGGATCAGATCTTCTTTTTTAGTTGGGGTTAAACTCTGGCCATTTCACAGAGATTAAATCAGCATTTATTTCACGGCCAAATGTGCCTCCGCTCCAGATGCTGGGACTCAAAAACCCATCCAGCCCCAGAGTTGGAATCTGTCCAACATCTGGAGGAGCCGTTTGAAGGAACTGCGAAGTCCGAGCGAGTGTGGTTGGCCACGCGGCATATTACGGGGTGGTGAAACCCGCCAGGCAAAGCCGGGCATCCCTGGCTGTGCCAGGAGAGACTTAGCACTCACCTCTCCCGTGTGCTTCCATTCCTCCTGCCAAGGCGAAGCAGTCCTTAGCCACCCTGACCAAGGACGTCCCCAAGCGGCATTCGCTGGCCATGCCAGGTGAGACGGTGCTCAACGGAAACCAGGAATGGGTGATGCAGGCCGACCTCCCGCTCACGGCCGCCATCCGGCAGAGCCAGCAGACGCTGTACCACGCCCACCCCCAGCACACGGTGGACCGGCAAGGTGAGAGCAGCCCCCTTCTCCCCTTGCCCTCCTTCCCTCGCGGCCAGGCGAGACAATCCTAAAAGCCCCCCAGACGGAAAAGCTGTCCCGGGTCTCAGCCAAGCTAAAACGAGCCTCCTGTTTTTCTGAGAAGGGATGGGAAATTAGTGTTCCTGGCAGGTCAACGCTGCGGCTCTTCTCCTGCCCCCTCCTTGTACATTACGTTGGATGGAGCAGTGTTTCTCAACCTCGGCAACTTTAAGATGCGTGGACTTCAACTCCCAGAATTCCCCAG